AATGCAGATTTTAGTATTTTCATGACTTGCATTAAATGAATTTAGGACATTTTTTACGTTTCTTCAAATAACTTTTAATTTTCTACTATGACATTGTTATTGGTTTACATTAGTAAAAACTAGATAAAATTTACTAAAATCTAGTAATAGCATACTAAATATAAATATATAATTTTTAATTTATCATTATATAAATATGTATAATGGTTGACACTAATAAATGTGTGCATCACGAGTGTCACCTCATATTACTGATGAACATTATTCAAAATTGTGATATGATGTATTTATTTTTACTTAAATGCCATCTTGTACAGTAGCAAATAAGTTTTACTTCATTCGCGTGTTAACCTTACGCGCACTCTTTTTTTATTACCTTGGCTTAGTTGTACCCTCAACTCGTCCATCTGTTTAGTTCCTTCTTCACCACTAGTGGCAATTCTGGCAGCATCTCCGACGGCTGTCAAAGTCTTCATATTAGCAGCAATTGCATCAACATCCTGGCGAACCGAGTTTAAGTCTTCTCGAAGTCCTAAAATCATGGAATCCGTGGTTTGGTAACCACCAGCTGCTGCACCACCAGCTCCGGGAGAGACCGGAGTTGCTGCTCCGGAGGGCGAACCTGTGGCTTCCCTGAAATAAAGTAAAAAAAAAATGTAATTTTAAAAGTAGGGCATATTGATAATTAAAAAACTCATATGGAATAAATGAAGCGTCAATTCAACTCCACTCCCAGATACGGGGGTACTCGGATCGAGTCCCGGTTGAGTACTACACATATTAACAAGGATCGAGTCCCGGTTGAGTACTGCACATATTATAGATATACATGACAAGAATATAGATAGCCATAACAAGAATATAGATATACATAACAAGAATATAGATAGATATGAATTTAAGGATGAAAAGTGAAAGATATTTTAAAAAAATTAAAAGTGGCAAAGTGAACTGAGATACAAATTTAGTTTAAATTAATAAATAAACCAAAGTTCACAATAAACTATGGTACCGATGTTATGGCAAGTCCATGTTACGCTCGAATTTCCATACAATATGCTACTGAATCATACGGAATACTGTCACAATGTCATTGTATTTGATATGCATTCAGGCGTTTTATACATAAACTGCAACGTCACTCGTATGTTATGAAGCTGAGTCAGAAAGACCCTGTTATCTAAGATCGTTTTTTTGACATTTGTGCGGTTTCTAGGTTAGGTTTTCTACCTGACAACCTGAGAAAAGCGACTAACTGCACAGCAACCGTAAGGCTTTTGTCAATATTTAGTACGGAAAGTTGTTCATAACATAGCCTTGCCATAACATTTTTCTGTTATACAGCAGAATCAATCTCTAAAGTTTAGAAAATTTTCTGACATCAATATTTACAAAATAACTTTGAAAATGGATTAAAATAAATATTTATACAAAAAATCAATCCGAAGTGAATGTTGTAATTCTATTTTGGATTATTACATTAAAAAAAAATTGAAAGCGAAAGAAAATCACGCCTAAAGTTCTGCCAAGATCTTTACATTGCATGTTACAGTTCTAGAATTTTTATTAAAAGCGAGAAAAATTTACTCCCACGTTTTGCAAAGATCTTTACATTTGGTAATAATGTTTTATAGATTCAGAATTTTATCTATTTAAATAAATTGTTGATGCATCATATATTGAAAAAAATATATACATAATTTCATTTATTTATTATTTATTTTACTTACGGTGTTCCTCCTAAAGCTGGTCTGCCGACTGAAACAAAAATGTTAAAATATTATTTAAAAAAATATTTACTAATATTAATTAATCTACATACAAGTAAAGCTATTATTTATGTTAAAAATATTAAGAGTAAGTTAATATTTTCTTTATTGTCTTTTATTAAAAGAAATTGTTATTTAGAAAAATTATTAAAAAATCATTTAAGAAATTTTAACAAAAGTAAATTATTATAATCAATTGCAATTTCAGTTTGCATTTGAGTTTAAAATGTTTCAATTTAGCTTAGAAAAATATTGTTAGCTAATTTTTAGCAATTATTTTTTAGCAACTGTATACAAGAAAAATTAATATTTATGTTAATTTGTAGTTATTTTCTGAAGAAATTTCAAACAAGAAAAAGGCCATCATAAATTTCAAACCCAGTATTAGGATGTTTCCAATTGAAAATATTTACTATTACTAAATTTACTATTCTTAAGTAACTTTTAAAAACTAATATTCAATGTAAATTGAAACGTAATTATTTTTTCGAGAAATTCAAGAATTCAATCAATTTTAAATCGAAGAAAATGAAGTTTAAAAAAAATATTCAAACTATCTCTATATCTTCAAAATAGATATAGCTATCTATATCAATAAAATAAGTTAAATTTCAAAAAATAATCTTGTGCAAGATTAAATTTCATGAAAAATCTAGACACAAACAAAACATGAATTTGTAAATGAAAGTAAATGAATTTTGAATCTGACAAGTTTGGATTTGTGCCAAATTATAATATAGTTTAAGGGATATTATAGTCTAGAATCACAATTTTTTGTGTGGTTTTTAAAAGAACATAAAAACGTCAAACAATATTTTGGAATACTTTTTTCATAAGTTATTAATATCTTTTTGGGATAAAACAAAAATGATGATATACTTAATTTACCTGCTCCTTGTTCAATATCAAAAATACGTTTTTCAATATTGTCCAATCGATCGCGTAGTTCCACTTTACTTCCATCAACTTTAACAACCTGTGGATAAGAAACAACTTTAATTTTTACCAAATTTGAAATTCTGATTAAAAATAAACAAATTAAAAAAAACAAATTCAATTTTGACTCAGTTTTCATTTCTATTTTAGATTAAAATTTTGCTCTAATGTATAAAAAACACCTTTATGGGCCGCACAACGAACCAATGTTATGACAAGGCCATGTTACGCTCCAACTTCCATAGATTATGCTACTGATGAATACTGAATACTGTCAAAATTTCATGCATTTGCTGTGCATTCAAGCGTTTTACACACAACCTGCAACGTCTGTATGTTATGAAGCTGGGTCAGAAAGACCCTGTTATCTGAGATGATTTTTTTTGATATTTGTGTACTTTCTAGGTTAGGTTTTCTATCTGACAACCTGAGAGGAACGCTGGACTGCACAGCAACCACTTGGCTTTTTCTAATATTCAGTATGGAGAGTTCTTCATAACATAGCCTTGTCATAACATTGGTCTGTTGGGCGGCAGAATCGGTCCCTTAATTTCTATCTAATTTTAATTTCTATTTTAGATTATTTTAATGGATAAAAATATTAAATTTTTACTCAGTCTTTTTCTATTTTAATTTTTTTTATTAATTTACCTGAAGGTCTACATTAACGTTAGTATACTCTTTTGCAAGTTCTTCCATAACCGACGTCAATTTATTCATGCCAGATTCGACAGCTTCAATTCTTTTGGACAATGAGATGCCATTCCACATTTCTGCCACTGGATTACCTTGACCAGATCTAAAAATAAAAAAAAATAATAAAAAATAAAATATTAAATTCTTATAATGTAAAAAGTTCGCCACCAATGTCTTAAAAACAAGTATAATTAGGAATTTTTTACAATGCTATTTTAAAGTAGAGGGCAAAAGACATGTAACCAGCCACCAAGGGATTCAATCCGACGACATCGATAACAAAAGATAAAAATTGTCACCACATTGTCAATTTTTATCAGGAAGTTAGAAATGAAGTTTTCTTGGTTTTGAGCTCTGTTATTTAGTTTCACGATACCTGAATACAAATTTTAAGTATACGTTATGTAATTTAAGGTGTATTGTAATTTTTAAGTTACATTCGACTGTTTTTTATAAGAATAATTACTAAAAATCAAAATAAACTTTGGTATCCCTATATAAGGTAGAGTAAAGATAATTTTTCTTTAAACAATATTTGAAAGTATAGGGCAACAGATGCATAGCCAACCATAAACTTGATACTTAAAACCATTCTAGCAGAAAATAAACGGAAATATTTGAAAATCGATAATAAAAGTATTTTTTTTCGTTGTTAGCTTTTTTTAGTTTTGAGCACTGTTGTTTAGTTTACGAGACCTTAAAATATTACGAGCTAATATTTCGTAAAATTTCTTTAAAATTAAAAATAAGACATTGGACCTAATTATCTCCTGACTGTCCCAAAGGACCAAGTAACAAATTTTTGAAAAACAGCAAAAAAAATACATTTCTACAATGATGAAGTAGAAGGGAGTTATACTGAACATAGTCAGATAGTCGCTATTTCACATTATTTGACAATATAATTGCCCAAAGTCAAATTGGACCTTTGTGCCTTGCCCTAACCTATTTAATTAACTCAGATTTAAATTACGTAAGATGTCTGGCTTACTTCTATATTTAACACCATAAACTTTCGACCAACCTTCTGGGCAACTTTTGGTAATAATTTACAAATTTGCATTTTAACAATTTTGTCCATACTATATATTGGTTTCTAATAATTCTTATTATCTTACCGAACAGCTTCCAACAATTCCTTATTATTAGGAAGCTCCTCCAAGGCCCTCAAATGCTCCTCAATACTTGCAACTCTTTCGGCAAAAGATTGAAAATTTTCTTGAGAAACTACACCCATGGGCGTTCCAGTTGCCGGGGAAAATTTAGCACTACTTTTTGGACCTAGGGATAAATAAATTTTATATTAAAAACGATAATTGGATAAAATGATAGAAGAAACAAGTGTTATTGTACCTACTGATGCAGGACTGACTTCGTCTACGGATTCACCCATACGCTTCACTAAAATTAATAAAAAAATTAAGATAAGTATTTATTTGAATTGGTAATAAAAAAAGTCTCACCTACTACAAGTTTTTGCACGCTTGATTTTTTCCGCTTTTCCAATTTTTTACCCTTTTTAGCTGCAAAAGAACAAATCTAGTTAGTTTAAAGATTAAGACAGTAATTAATTTTATTAATTTCAATTTACCAAATTCCGTTCCAGAATCAGCAGAAGGACTTGGCGCAACTTCCGAAATAGTTGCCTAAAAATATAAACATACTGATAAACACTAAATTAAAAAAATGAGTGCGCGTAAGGTTTACACGCGATTGAAGTAAAACTTATTTGCTACTGTACAAGATGGCATTTAAGTTAAAATAAATACATCATATAACAATTTTGAATAATGTTTATTAGTAATATGGTAACATTCGTGATGCACACATTTATTAGTGTCAACCATTGTTAACATTTATATAATGATAAATTATGATCTATATATTTATAATGGCATTAAAAATATGTATTATATTTTAAAACAATAATGTAATTAAAGTCATACTTCAAAATTGACATGATCGGTTTGTCATTGTAATTAGCATTAGGACTTGAATCTTTATTAAAGAAATGAAGTAATCGCTGATTAATAAATTCTTTAATATTCGTTCACACAGTGGATTATGTTAAACAACGCCTAAACAAATATTGTTTTTGCAATTTAACTCATCCTACAACAATTGTGTTTAAAGAACTTCATGTAATTAAAATTAACATACATTCATTGGCTGCTTGTTTTTTTTTACTTTTTTGCTGACGATAAAATCTCATTCTTTGAACAGCTGTAATTTCTAATCAATAAACTTACGTTTAGTATACGACACAAATGTTTAATTAACTTCCCGAAGGAGAAGTTTATGTATTCATCAAAAATCCTATCGGCCGAGCCGTTTCTTTGTAAATCGTAAAAAAGTGAAAAAAATTTCGTCCACGTTTTAGCCCGCAATTCTGAATCGATTTTAAAAATTCAAAAACCGTTCGATAGATATTGGTTGAGAATCGTGCTGATTAGTTTTTGGTAAAGATCGACCGGGCCGTTTTTTTTTAATAAAGTTTTTTAAAAAAAAAATTCGATGATTTTTAACTTCCCGTAGGGCAAGTTGAGAAAATTTTTATATATCTTTACGTTTCAAAGGTTTTTGAACATTTTGGCATACCTTAGAAAAAATGGATGTATGTGTGTGTGTGTGTGTGTGTGTGTGTATGTGTGTGTGTATGTATGTACGTGTGTGTATGTATGTGCGGATACAAATTTTCGTCGACAATTTCGGGAACACGGATCAACCGAGTTGAATAATTCAAAAAACATTCGATTCGTATTGATAAGAAGACGTGCTGATTAGTTTTTGGCGCAGGGAGGTCTAGACGTTCCGAAGATACGGGGCAAAAAGTGCCGAAAACGGTAACTCAGTTTTTAAGAGAACGGAGCGTTCGATTTTAATAATTCAAAAAACGTTTTACTTATATTGACAAGGTGAAGAACCGATCAAATTTTCATAAAGGCAGGTCTAGCGGTTTCGGAGATCTAATGAAAAAAGTAAACAAAAAATGCCATTTGGCGGTCAAAAATGATCATTAGACTTATGCACATCAAATTATCAGATATATTATAGAGATTTTAACAATAAGTATGAATTTGGTTTACAGACCTATGGGTTCCGTACCAATGTTTACGCGTTAGGCGGCGCTTACGCGCTTTGATATTTCGTCTTTATGCAGTTAAAGCAGTACGATTGCTTTGAAAAAAAGTTTAGATCTTCCAAAATATGTCAAAATAAAGAAAAAAATTTTTTTTCAAAAAAAAAAAATTAAAATATTTTTTTTTTTTTAATTTTTGTTTTTCAAAAAAAAGTAATTTTTGGTCCAATTTATAGTTTCTCAAAAATATTATTTTTTTGAAGTAAATTTTTTTCAAAAATGTTAATCGTTTTAAAAAAAAAAAATTTTTGTACGGGAAGTTCCAGCAATTTGCCTTAAGGCACGATGCCTTAATTGCCTTAAGACAGAATTCCACTTACAGCTAGTTATGATTTTTTTTCGACGGTATATATCATAGTCTTGTAGATCATACTAAAATATTACGGACCTACGAGAAGTCGTTTAGATTGAAAAATTCTTCAAAGTTTGCAAAAATTGGTATCGTTCTTTTGGCATTTGTCAAAATTAGACCTTTGATAGACGTTTTCTCAAAAACGCCTGAACCGTTTTCAGAAATTTAAAAGCCGTTTGATTTATCTCAATGAGGATGTCAGTTTTGTGAGACGATCTGCCGAACCGTTTCTTCGTAATTTAAAAAAAGTGTTAACTTTTTCGTCCACATTTAAGCTGATACTACCGAATCGATTTTAAAAAATCAAAAACTGTTCGAAAGATGTTAGTTGGGAATGATACTGATCAGTTTTAGGTGAAAATCTACCGAGCCATTTCCTTCTAATTAACAGTTAACTGTTAATTTAAACCGATTTTTATGGAACTTTTTTTGGCGATATATATCATGGTCTTATAGAACTTACTAAAATATTACGGCCTTGAAAAGTAGTTTAATTTCAAAAATTCATCAAAGTTTGAGAAAATGAGTAGTTTCTTTGACGTTTACTTAAATTAAAATTAGACGATTTACTTAGTATAGCGATAGACTACATGGTTTGCTTTTAAAAAATCTTCGAGAGTTAAGGTGTTTGTTCGTTTTCAGTTATGTGTAATGAATCCACTCGGAATACTTTTAATCACTCATAAATTAATTTATTTTTTATTGATTAAGTCGATTATTTACACATATTGGGAAGTTCATGTAACTTGCCTCAAGGCAAAATACCAATACCAACTAGTTACTTTTTCGCTGGCGATAAAATCTCATTCTATGAACAGCTGTAATATCTGTCTTGCCTAAAAATACTTTCCATTTTAATAACTTCAAAGAGTTATAGAAACTACGAATAATGTAGAAATAATTTCTAATAAATAAACATACGTTTAGTACATGGCCCAAATGTTTAATTTTGTTTACATGGTAAAATATTCTTCTGATTCAGGCATTTTTCATTAAATCAAGATTTGTACTACGATGTAACTTTAAAATGTTTATTTATCTATGCCGATTTTCTTGTTGATATCGGTACGCGTACAACGTTGATGACGGTACGCGTACAACGACAGATCTCTATTCACACACACAACGACTAATCACAATCGACCCGTATACAAATGTTATCATCAAAAGCAAATGACAAATCATTGGCACTCGACTCTTATCTTATCTTATCTGCCGTAACGCACTACCGTTGCATTTGTGCGGATTTACACCATAGTCGCGCCTAAAGAAGTTTCACTTCAAAAATGTTTTTCCATTATCTACTGACCATTTTTCCACTTGGATGATACCGCCCTTGAGACAGTTCAGCAGGGCCTTGCAATTCGAATTCGGACATCGCCAAAGAAGGTCCTGCTTGGGTTGTCGTCAGGACATTGTTTATGCAGACGCTGGTTCTTCCCCGAAATTCGACCAGGGTGTCTGCTAAATTTAGTTGCTGAATCATCACATGCAGCAAGGAGTGCAGAATGTTGAAATTTACGGCACCCACCTAAAGGAAAAAGACTTATGAGGAATACAGTATGTTTTCATAAAAAAATCCGATTTCAGAAATTTAAAAGCCATTCGATAAGGACTAGCCTTTACCAATATTGATGTTTAGTATTTTATATTTATATTAATTTATATTTATATTTATTTATATTTATACAATACAATTGTACAATTATAGATGGTACATAACTTAAATTAATAGATAGATTGACTACCGTCTATCAATTATTAATGCCACTTGCACCTAGTTTCACTTCCTGTAGGGTAGTTATAGTAGCCGAAAATCGAAAATGAATTTTTTTCATTTCTCGACGTTTTAAAGGTTTCTGAACATTTTGGCATATTTCAGAAAAAATATGGATGTGTGTGTGTGTGTATGTGTGTGTGTGCCTGTGTGTTTTGCATTTCCGCATTTTTTCGTCACGTTTTCGGGCGCACGGATCAACTGATTTGAATGGTTTAAAAAAAATTCGATCCCTATTGATAGGGAGATGTGCTGATTAGTTTTTGGCAAAAGCAGGTCCAGCCGTTACGGAAATACAGAGCTAAATGTGCAAAAAATGGCAGTTTTTGAGTGAACTAATAAGCGTCCGATTTGAATGATCTGAAAAACTTTCTGCTTGTATTGACAAAACAATTGGTTTTGAGGATAAAAAATTATTACATCTTTTTTTATTTTCCATAAAATATTTTTGTAATTTTGGTTTGAAAATTCAAAAAATAACCCAGGCTAAGCACAGTCTAAGCGCGACTCTGGTACAAATGATTACCCAATTGCGTTTAGACTGCTTATGTATTGGAGCACTTTTCCAATTTTGTGAAAAAAACTATTGAAAAATGTGAAAATGCCGCCAAGCTAAGCACAGCATAAGTGAAAATGTCGCACAGAATTATTTGCAAATGCGTTTAGACTGCGACTCTACAGGAGCACTTTTTCAATTTTGTGTGAATTAGGCAACTATTTTTTTTTAATTGAATTCGAAATGAAATGACGATTGCTAATGTTCTGAAAATAAATTGATTTATGATTTACATTTGATTTGCTCAGATATAACAAGATGGCAAAAATAATGAAAGTTACAGTATTTGTAATAATATATTTGAAAACGTTTAAAATTTCTCGAATATTTTATTAGGGTACGGAAAGTTCCAGAAATTTGCCTTAAGGCACGATGCCATAGACCACTAGTTTTATATTTTACCTGAGGTGTTCCGAGTGCCAAATCCACAAGTAGTGGCAATTCCACCACAATAGCTGTCGACATTTTAATTTTTTTTTGTTACAATTTTATTAAAAATATGTTTACGATTAAAATTTAGAAAAAAATTATGTTGGAAATGTTGGCTTTGAAGTGTATTGATTTTTATGATTTTTTGGAAAAATCATAACTCAATTGTTTTTGTATTTGAAATGACATTAGACTATGTAAAAAAATAATATAATTTTTTTTTATAAAATTATTATGAAGTCTAGGTAAAATTAATAACTTCTCGAAGATGCAATCCGATTTGCTAAGTTTATGTCTTTTCGACGCTTCATGTCATTCTGAATCGATTGAGACCAAATTTAGAAAAAGTATGCGTGTGTGTATGTAAACCGATTTTTGATATTTTCTCGACGTTATATCAAAAACTGCTGGACCGATTCCAAAAATTCAAAAGCCATTCGATGTAACTCGATAAGGACAAGCGTTTGTCAGTTTTGTTTGTCGATCAGCCGAGCCGTTTCTTCACAATATTAAAAAACTCCGACATTAAATTTTAAAAGCTGGATCGGTTTCAGAACATAGATCTAACATTACATGGGCTGATAGTCCTAATATGTTTTCCATTTTCTAAACTATCTTAAGATAGAAGGAGACTTGGTGAACAAGCGTTGCCGACGATCGTTGAAACTCCCGATTGATTAAATGTCATATTATATTATGATATATAATATATTATGTAATGTAATATTCACTATTGTTTATGCAAATCGAGCATAAAATATTTACTTTTACATTAAGCACGTGACATATGACATATGACATTTAATCAATCCGATGCTCCCATCCCTCAAAAACTCGATTTATATTTTCTGCACTCTTTGCTCTCTATCTCCGTAACTGCTAAACCTGCCTTTGCCAAAAACTAATCAGCACATCTCCCTATCAATAGGAATCGGATGTTTTCTGAACCTTTCAAATCGGTTGATCCGTGCGCCCGAAAACGTGATCGAAAAATTGTATCCATACATACATACACACGCACACATCAATTTTTTCTGAGGTATGCCAAAATGTTCAGAAACCTTTATTTTTTTATATGCAACAATTATCATTTTCGATTTTCGACCCATTACTATAACTTACCCTACGGGAAGTTAAAAATGTTTTCATTAATTTTTTCTAGAACATATGATTCCAATTTTATAAAATGATAATTAAATGATAAAAATCTTATTACTTAAATTTAAAATATTAACCCAAATTAAGAACTAAAATTTAGTTATAAAAATTATCAATCAACAATCGATCCAGAATGACTTGACACGTCGACAAAACACGAAATTACCAAATTGGATTTTCTGGAAAAAACAAACATTTCCTTCGGGAAGTTAATACTAAATTATTGTATTTAATAAAATCATTCTATAATAATATACCAAAATTTAATTAAGATATAATTTAGTGCATTAATAAAAGGTGAAGCACTGGGGTTTTCTTTTAAATTTAAAAGTTTATATTTTATTTGTCAAACTAATTACTCAATGACTTTCTATATAGACAGATTGCACTTTATAAGAAAATTGAAAAAAAAATCTATATTAATGGTAGTCTATATTATTTTACAGGTGTATTATCTTTATAAACATTTTTTTATTAAACAGACAATGTTTATAAGAACAGTGTTTGTTCATAAGCATCCGCTTACTCATATTATTGATAATAAAATTGTTTATAAAACAATTGAATGCTATCAGTACATTTGTAAACGTATAAACAAAATATCATAAATATATAAAAGTTAATTAAAGTTGAAATCGGTTTGCAGTTTATCGAAAACAAGGTAATTTTCTTTATTAAAGTTTTGTGATTTACTATAATTATGGTGAATATTTAAGTTTAGATTAATAGGGTCATTTTAATTACAATTCCTAAAGGAATTTGATAGCATTTATTTCTGAGAAAAAAAAAAAAGTCCAAATAGATATGTTACAACTATTAATGTGTTTCTCATGTATTTTTAAAAACCAAATGCTTTCATTGTAAATAGCCCAAATAACAAATAATATATTAAAACTTTGTTTTAATTATAATATAGCTCATGTCAATATGTTACACTTTTTTATATAAAGTAATTCAATTATTGCTTCATTATTTATTATTTTCTACAATTTACGTATTTTGTTAGGACGTACATAATTTCTGTTATTCAATACTTATTAATTTTACCACTTTGTCTTATAATTTAGTAATAACTATGACTAAGAAAACTCCAAAATTCAACAAGTGGTTGTTGAACCCATGTCGAAGATTTTCTCCTCGTCTTTTGGAAGCAAATGCAGAAAAATCAAAAATTGAATCTCAAAAAAAGGCTGAAGGAAATCCATCCATTATAAAACCATCAACTGTCAATCCATCTTTGGCAATCAAATTACCTGATTTGGAGAAAATCATTCAATCAAAATCGCAAATTCAACAGGGTTCAGTAACAAATACGAATAATTTGGTCAATGTCCCAAAAGATGTAAATAATAATGAGACGGAGGAAGAAGGCGTTTTCAATTTGAGTATTCATGTTTATTTACATTGATTGTTATGTAATATGATTGTCATTGCAAAAAGAGCTTGATTAAACACAATTTGGTATTTTTTTCGAGCAATTAGAAATAATTAAAGTTCAACAAAGTGTATTGGGAACTGTTTTTTACTAAGAACTTCATTATTAGTAGACAAGTAATTAATTATCTCTAATACACTATTAGAAAGCAACTCTATGGTCAAGCTTTTTCTCATTAGGCTGATTCAGAAATGCTCCGAAAGGATATTTTCACTTGGAAACATATTGTTCATGATATTACCATTAATTCTAGAATATTTATATAATATAAAAAACCAATAAATTCTAGAATTATATTAAAAAAAAAAATTTCAGAAATTTATAAAACTGATCAATCATGAAATTCTAAAAATTCAGAAAAAGCAAAAACAGTAATAAATTCAATAAATGTATATTTAAAATCGACAAAGTTTATAAAAGACATAAATTACGTTTAATTTAACAAATCAAAAATTAAATCAGAAACCAATAGGGAAAACTGGGTACGGATGCGCTACTTTTTTTAAATCAGCCATAATTCTATTTATTTATCAGTTAGCTGACACCTAACACTTTTGGCTCTTTAAGAGCAATGCAAGCCGCACAATAATGGAAACTTGTTCGAACAAACATACTTCGTATTTGGACCCTACGTCACTACCGTACCCTACTATGACCTCACCCACCAACTTTATAAAAATTTCTACTGCTTGACATCAGGCTGTCTGAGTCAGGTATAAGACCAAAAGTCTTTGATAGTACCTCACAGTTTTAACCACTAATACAAGGGGAGATTCATAATTAAATAATGAATATAAATTATTTACTTGCAAGGGTAAAAGAGATAATTACAAATTGTCGCTATAAAAATATTTTAATTTAAATTAATGAAAATGACGCCGAGCCTGTCTAAGTGGTTAAGTGTCAAACTAGGGGGTACTCAGAGCGAATCCCGGTTGAGCACTGTATAACAAATCGACAATTAATTACGAAGAAACGGTCTGGGCGATCTTTAACAATACCTAATACGATTTGCAGCCTACATTTTTCGAAAAAAAAAAAATTATTAGAATTATTAAAATTGATTAAAAATTTTTGGTAAATTGTGGCAGAAATTTGTGCTTTTTTCTTTGTCTACGTTTTAGCAAAAAAAATATAAACAAAAACAGATTTTTTTGCTAAGAAAGGGCAAAATTAGTGCTTTTTTCTGCTAAAATGTGTACAGAATTTTGCGTTTCTTCTGCTAAAATGTGTACAAAAATTTGAGCATTTTTCTGTTAAAACGTGGACAAAAATTTAAGCTTTTTTTACTAAAATGTAGACCAAGTTTTGTGCGTTCTCAACTAAAATTTTGTGCTTTCTCTTCTAGAACGTGGACAAACATTTAAGCTTTTTTCTGCTAAAATGTGGACCAAGTTTGGTGCTTTCTCAGCTAAAATTTTGTGCTTTCTCAGCTAAAACGTGGACAAAAATTTAAGCTTTTTTCTGCTAAAACGTGGACCAAATTTTATACTTAATCAGCTAAAATTTTGTGCTTTCCCAGCTAAAACGTGGACAAAAATCTGAGCTTTCTCTGCTAAAACGTGGTCAAAAATTTGAGCTTTTTCTGCTAAAATATGGCAAAACCAACTTGAGTCGCCAAATTACATATTACATATTACATATATTGTCGATTATGAAAAAAGCAAAAAAATTGTCCACGTTTTAGCAGAAAAAAGCATATATTTTTGTGCACGTTTTAGCAGAGAAAATAAAAAATTGTACCTTTTCATGCAAATAAATGGACAAAATTTATTTTTTTGCTGCTAAGATGTGGACCAAATTTTTTTGTTTTTTTTTCTGATATTTACACAGAAACGGCTTGGCTGATCGTAGTGCAAAACTGATAGACAATAGTACTCATCCAGATACATCGAATGGCTTTTAAATTTTTGAAATCGGTCCAGCCGTTTTTGAGAAAGCTTCGATTTACGGCAAAAAATCTGTTCACATACACATACACATACTTTTTCCAAATTTGGTCTCATTCGATTCAGAATGGATTAAAACGTCGAAGAAACATAAAATCAGGTTTTTGCTTCTTCACAAAATCGGATTTTCTGATGAAAACATAAACTTCTCCCCGGGGAAGTTATTTAATTTAATTTCTTATGTCATGTAAGATGATAATAGTACTAATATAAATTGAGTTTTATAAATTGACATGAGTGTTTTACCCAAAATTAAAATGGATATTATTATAAATATCAATGAATATTATTATTAATAAATAGTTGTCTTGACTTTTGTTTAAATTTCACTTTCGGCCATTTTTCGGCCAAATTTTAATAACTTATATCAACTATAATAAAATTAGTACCAATATTAATTGGCTTTTATAAACTTCTGGCTACTTTTATAAAGCATTTATAAATTTTGACGTATTTTATACATAATTATAATGAATATTATTATAAATAGAAAT